AAAAGTATTTTATTAAAGAGACAGAAAATATAATGTAGCTTTTAACCTTTCAAATAGTCTAATTGCCTTCTCACTATAGAAAGGATAAAATGAGGGTCCAGTACATACATAGCCAAAGTTCTGTGCTCCCCTCGGGACTCCAGCAACCAGCTCTGAAAGGATAAATGATCAACAGTGAACTGGTTATGCTATCTGAGTGGTGCATGCCACATGCATCCCATGCCATGACATCCATAGGTCTCTGTCTGCCTAGCATTACTTAGCATAGCACAGCATAATGAAACTTTTGGTACAATTCAGCTTGCTACCTGACAGCTGTGGATTGTTGGAATGAGAATTAGTCCTAGCATCCCATACTAGAGTACAGAAGCTAAATACAGCTGTCTTTGAAAATATTTCTTTTCTTTTTGGCTACACAACAATCTGTCTCATCTGTTATTTTGCTTGACACCATGGAAGTCTCTGACAAGTTCTGCATAGGCTATCTAAAAGTATTCCAAGGAAGTTTTTGTGAGCAGCACTGAAGACATCCATTGAACAAGAACATGAAACATTGTATCTAGCTGCCTTCTAGGAGTAAGTCTGCTCAATGGTGAAATTTTAAACAACTAGTAGAAAAAAATGGGTAAAAAAAAAACAGGAGGAAAAAGCAAAGTCACTGCCTGCAGCCTTATTGTCTAAATTTTCCCTCATTAGAATATCCACGTCAAAAGACAGCCATAGGAACTTTAGACATCAGAGCACCTTAGATACCTGCCTGTACTGACCTACTACTCCTCTGTTCCTCACTGGATTTATGTATTTCTCTGTGACTGAATGTGCTTGGTCAAGGGGAAATGGAAGTAATAAAGAAGGACTGAACAGGACACTGGATCAGTGTCCTGTTCACAGCCAAATGTGCAATTTTTTGTGCCAGTCATTCACATGACTTACTGATTCAAGAATCATCCATCATAAAACTTTGAGTATGCATTAAAAAACAAGAAAAAAAAGTCAGCCTTCTGTATTCAATTATAAATCTTTTTGCATATCATAGTGTTTGGCTCAAAACTGTCTTTTTTTTACTTATTTTTCTAAACCCTTCTTAACGCAGGGCAGGCAACTCTAACTTCAGAGGGATTAAGCGGCAGCAGTTCTGGAGAGCTGGGTTCATTTGTGGAAATGTACTATGTCTCTACTGGCTTTGTGAGTCTGGACCACATAGCTGCTCACCTGCTCAAGAAAGCCTTACACAAGAAACACAGCTCTTCAGGTATGAAACACCGGAGATCGTAGGTATTTTCAGCTAACTACATGATCTTAAATCCTTTACAATATCAAAACATCTGAAAATAGCTAAATCATGAGCAAATTTCTATTTACAGATGATTGTTTTTAATGCACTTTACTAAACAGCTGTGACAGGAGCTTTTCTTCTAACCTGGATCCAACTTGCAGAGACACAGGAAAATACTGTTCAATTTCTAAAACACAAGCAAACCTTACTTTGCAACCTAAAAACTAGACCGTGTTTAGCTTGGTTTCAGTTATCCTGCCACAACACTGAGTTCAGCACATCAAACTGCCTAGATTAAGTGAGACTGAATGGCTCCCTCTACAATGTAGTCACAGCACTAACTTTGGACCTTCTGTTTTTATGGTATCCTGCTTATGCATGATACCATAAAAACAGATTCAGATTTTTGTGTTACTTACATTCTATTTTGTTTTACCATACTGTTTAAGGAAATATTTGCCTTACAGATAGCTTAAGTCTCACCACTATTTCAAATGTACAATAGGTGTGTTCCTGTATAGGGACCTAAACCCAGGAATTTAACAGGTCCACGGTCATATGGTTTTCATTCAACTACATAGCTTCTTACCTTGTTCAGAATCACCAGTAAATTCCCCAGCAGCCACTGAGTATCCTGTTTAAAGATGAATTACAAAAAAAAAAATACTTCTTTCAAAAAATGCGCAAGACCAATCAGATTTGTGTGTTCAACTGATCATCTGAATGCAAATTTTCTATCATTAGTATAAGAAAACTGTGTGGAAAAAGGAAATTTTTTTTTTTTATCGCATAATTATGACTAAATTAATGGTAGGTCTGAATGTATAATAAATTGATCCTTCTTCTCCAAAAATGAGCTTCTAAATCATTAATAATTTATCGGGGAAAAAAAGGAGGTACTACAGTGTTTTATCCTACCATCTGTTTACACAATGCAGGTCTTCATTACTCTACTATAATGTATGAGTGTCCTAATTGAGCTTTAAGAGGAAGACAGATTCCAAAGACGCAGTTAAGCACCTCTTGGAACTTTAGTAAATCTGTGAGGTAGTTGTTATTGTCACAGTAAAGACTTTTGGACTGTGTCAGGGAGTGTAATTTCAAATCCACGGGCAGGGGTGAAAGGATGCATCTTTGCCTTCCAATTCCACTGACCCTTGTCTATAACTATGTGAA